TGTCAGTCTGTGACTCAATGATGAGTTTTTATATTCTATATGATGTAGGTGATACCTGCAGGCATGGTATGGGCATCATGATTCTCCAGTTTTTAGCCATTGGCTATGATTTATTTTTAGCCCATGTGGGTTATTCTCTTTTTAGCTGGAGGTCTGATACTGATTACAAGTTCCTCTACATGAGGTTTTGGTCAATTTAGCCCTAAGGCTATGTTTTACAATAAATTTAACCATGGTTACATTTTGTTGTCATTTATGTATATATATTGTACACAGTTTGAATTAATTTGAAATTACCAATATTGTTGGCCCTGGCCCAGGCTATGTTTCCATTTTATACTGATTATGTGTGACATTTGCCCTTTTTGAGCCCCTTTGCCTCCATTGCTTCCTTGCTGTAGCTCAGCGAAGGAATTTTGGCCAGTTTTAGCCCCTTGGGCTATGTTGATTGCTATTGCTATGAATTTGGCCATTTTGTTTGCTATTATGCACTGTTTGAGGCTGCTTGCACTTATCGGGCTGGGCTGTTTGTATAATTATGTCACCATTTTAGCCTGGGTTTTGGGTTGGCATATTTCTACTTATTTTCTGTACCAAGTTTTGTTCCTCTCTATCTGTTGTCAGTATGTGATGGGATAATCTGTATCTGCGGTTTATGCTTTTAAAATCAGTTTCGTGCTTGACACTATCAGTTGCACCCGGTTCTACGGCATATTTTCATTTCAACTTCACTTTGTGTTATTTCTGGTTTCATTGATATAAAAACCTTGGTATAGTTTGGTTGTCATGTGTGGTATGTCTATATTGTTAAACTTCACTTCAGATTTCATTCGTACTTTCCTTTTGTTTAATATTTTATTAAAAAAAAACAACATTAATCTGAACTTAAGTGTATGCAAGGTCCTTTAGATGGATGTTTTCATACAGTCATAATATCAGCATTGGCTGGCATTTATTGTTTTTCAAGTTTGAGTTATCTAATGTTCCTGTTTTATCTTCCAGTTTGAGAGAAGGAAGCTAGAAACTAATTATGCCAAAAAGGAAAGCTGGTCCAGATGCCAACGTGCCAAAGCATAATGGCAGGAAAAGGTCCACTAGGCCTGGAGGTCACAAAGCAGAGTCACAGGAGCAGGCAACCTCCTCAACGCAGCCTCCGACCAATATGATTCAATTACCAAGTCAGGATTTTTTTGGGCTATCTCCGAAAAGCAGCTTAGTTCAATCACAGCTGCTATTATTGACTCTGTGCGACATTCCGTTATGTTGAGCCTGCAGCAGCAAGGCATTTTCAACAGAGAGACACCTACACCTTCCTCCTATCCTGCTCTTCCCAGTTAGGAGGTCCCTGTGGTGTCCCAAACCACACCACAAGTGGCACCACATGTGGCGCCCATTACTGGTACTAATATTGACTTGACAGGTGGGTCGCAACAAGTTGACACAGTTAATTCATTAAGTTTTTCTTCATCCCCTTCCCCTCTGACATGCCCACCTCTACATGCAAAGGTACCTCTTAAGTTACAAGAGAAAATTTGGGCTGGGGACTTTGTAGAGCTTGGTATCCTCCATCAGGATCAAGCTGAAGGTGATTTCACCTTCAAAATGAATAAGGATGGGGTGTTAGGGATTATTCCTGCCACCAAGAAGCAATTCCTTACGATTGAAAAATGGACAGATGCGTTTAACATCTATGCCTCTGTTCGGCGTATCAAGTTTCCCAAGGAAATGGAAGGTCTGGCAATTTACCAAATCGTTATTCGCAGCATTTCTAATGCTGGTGGGGACTGGCATTATTATGATGTGAATTTTAGGAAATTACGTCAGGGTTGTGCTGCGATTTCTGGGGAAACTCTGGAACACCAGCAGTACGCCATAGCTCTGTCACGTCGACGAGTTGATAGGGCTGGTGCTTTCCAATCAGGGCAGCCCTTTCGGACTCGACAGGGCCAGGTTTGTTTTAAATTCAACAACAGGTTCACCTGCTCTGGCTGTCGGTACCGACATGCCTGCTCCTACTGCGGGCTTTCATCTCACCCCAAGGTCAAGCGCTTCAAAGCCCAAACGAAGCTAAGTTATTTCCCTTGATTTTCTTTCCAAAAATAACTAAGAGTTATGTCCCTTGAATAAGAGGGTCATCGGTCATCTGACTGGTCAGTTACTTTCGCGCGGATGCTGAGACCCCCCTCATAACGCAGCCATCTTTAATTGTATCAATACGTAGTTCAATTAGTGGAGTGGATTTGCATTTGTTATGCAAAATTTACCCACCCACTTCCACCCTATTGTCTGTTCTATAGTAACGTTATTTTTTATCAGCAATTGTGGCGGTTTTTTTGTTAACCCCACATTGGCTTTTTATTAACAACACATTAAAGTAATTTTAATTTAAGTAGAATTATATATGACTAGATACACATTTCAATCATGATATTGGTGATTTGTCACTGTATGTTTCTAAAACGACTTCTATTGCAGGCCGCACCGTGTGACATATTTGCAGTTATGCAAGGTAAGGCTATGATGATTAATAAACAAAACAATCTGTTGTGTATATGTGACAAATTTATTTTGTTGGAGTCTTTCAACACACGAAAAAAATGCTGTAAATGTACTTAGTTTGGCGCAAAAAGGAATAATAGCAATCATGAGTTTGCACATTCGCAATGATTCCTATATAAACGACATACAGAAAATGCAATTAGCGCAATCTCATCTTAGAGCTGTGTCGTAGCTCTAAAACTGCAAAAGTATAATTAGCGCCAAAATCTTTACCTTTACAGTGTGGCAATTAAATACAGTTGACGAGAAGGAATGCTGTCTGGTAAATAACACTTTTTTTTTTTAAATGATTGTAACAAGAGACTAGTTAGAGTGCAACTATATATATCCTTTTTCCTCAATGAGCACAATTGAAAGATACATTAATAAGAAACACATATTAATAAATCGATTACATTACTAAATATGTGTTAACAAATACGTACATAGGATCATATTATGCAATTTTAATCTGTCATACTTAGATTTCAATATTCATTAGTATTAATCTCAACATAAGCGGTAAAGGATATCATGAATATACATGTGAATAAACAAACAACACGAAAACATACTATATAAGGAATAATGATTATATATATACTGATTATTGTACATTTAATTATTGTAAACACAATTCATCTCTTCCATGAATAATAATCATATAAAAAAAGCATTTTTTATCAAACAAATTCAAAACGCATAATTTTATGAAAAACATAATAGTGTCATTTTTTAAAAAAAAATAATTAAACAATGTTAAATCATAATTTCAAATATCAGCATATGAATACTCTGTACGATGACATGAATCAAAAATCCCAAAAATCATAAATTGATCATATCATGTATATAAGGCAAACCTACATTAGATAGAGCTATGTTTGTAGACGAAAGTGAGCGGAGTGTGCGAAAAACGAAATAAGTATAACAAATGATATTAAATATTGTTTTCAGATAATCTACCACACTTATTCAACTACGGTTGACCCTGTTTAGGATCATTCATGAGGATTTTAAGTTCGCGCACGTCTATAAAGTCGTACACAAAGATGAATACATAAAACATTGTACACTTATATATAAGATATAAGTCCTGATAATTTGATTTATATTAAATATTTGCTGGATATTTAACATCATACCGAACTTAAGTCCCCCGGGAAAATTAGGAACTACTAAGGATATTTTACCTCTACAAACAAGTTTATAAGGGATTTCAACGCTAATTTAAAATTTATGAAATTATTTAACGTACAGTGCAAATGATGATCTGATAATATTCATTGCTTCGATAATACGCATGACGCCACATTTCATCAAAAGTTCATACTAGTCCACCAAATAGATTCAAATCTGAATCATAAAAATGTTCATCTTTGTCTTTGGTGTATATCATCCACTGGTCTTTCACACTCTAGCATTGATCTAGAGGAACGGTTCTATATGTAAATTGGTTTTTTAAAAAGTCGCACATCCATGGCTGTATGACATGAATTCCCGTCTACCGATATCTACAAAATATAGAAAGGCTTTATTATTATGCTCATAATAAATATTCAAATATATGTATATATATCTAAAACAAAAAGGAAATAACAAAATGTCAATATAATCATATTCCAAGATAAAGTTCAAGAAAAGTAGGTCAAAATATCAACAAAAGAAAGATTTACATGGATACTACTGAAAAAGGATCATTTGACCAGGTGTGTCGGTAGAGTAAGCGTTTTCTGCTTCATTGATTACACACGTTATGTAAATCTTTGTCAATCTTAGTAATGTCGCATTCTTAAATGAACATTTTTAGTCAGATGCAGTAGAGCCAAACCATAACTTAAATTGTATCATACAACAGTTTCTTACTTCTATGTCTCGTCATTGATGGTACGGGCCTAAAAGTTGGAGCAAAGGGGGCGATTGAGGAAACAACAACAACAACAAAAAAACAAAACAACGCCAATGATATATGTATATTCTGAACCGTGCCACAATGCAAATACGGAAAAAAAATCTTCAAAGCATACAGGTTGATGACAATTATAGAGAAGTTGATGAAGTTAAATATCTTATCTAAACCGGATGTGCTACCCATCATTGTGTCTTACAGTTAAATTATCATTAAAGATATATACTCTTATCTTTGTCGTACTACGAATTATCTGATGACTTTTATCTTACAGTTAAATATACCTTGATATCATAGGGAAATATCCATGTCCTTCCTAGTTAGCCATACTACAAATTATCTGGAGGTGTTGATCTTACAGTTAAAATATACCATAATATTAAAGACAAATGTCCATGTCCTTCCTAGTTAACCGCACTACAAATTATCTGGAGGTGTTGATCTTACAGTTAAAATATACCATAATATTAAAGAGAAATGTCCATGTCCTTCCTAGTTAACCGCACTACAAATTATATGGGGGCGTTTATCTCATACCGTTAGAATTGTACTATTATGTTAAAGAGATAAATACTTGCCCTTTTGAGTGACCCATGTCATACATTATCTGGGGACGTTTGATTGAGTACTGTAAATAAACAATACACGCTATATATAATCATAAAAAGCAAATATATATACATGTATGTTTCTTCTTGGAAAAGTATCGGGTGAGGTCAGAAACGCGTTCCTTTTAATGATGCACCGTAACTTAGTAAGGACGCCATCTTTTTTACATTGATATACTAACACGAAAAAGAAACGCCGGGTACATTAAATATACTACAAATGATTTATTGTTTGACCTAGAATAATGACACGCGGTCAGGTTGATGTGTTGTTCGTGGTCACTAGGTACACGTGTTTAAAATCACACAATGCCGGACCTCCGCACTCCGTGCAAGGCACGTGCTAAAATACAAGAATCCCGTGCAGGGGAAGGTCATTGAGTTCGCCAATGGAAATGTTCAGTCTATTTCATACTGTTCAAGTATTCGGATTGATTTTTCAAAGTTTGATTCGAATTAAGCAATTTACTTCCATGCCACGATTGACGGAAGACCAGCGGGGACAGGCTATAGGAATGCTTTTGCAGGGTCAGGGCCAACTTCAGGTTGCTGCACATTTTGGTGTGCATATTCGGACAATTCAACGTCTTGTCCAACGTGTGCGAGTGACCGGGAGGGTCATCGCCCGACCGCGAAGTGGACGTCCGCGCGTCACGACGCCACATCAGGATCGGTTTATAAGACTTTCTCACTTACGTAATCGCCATCTCACAGCTACCGAAACTACAAATAACACTATAGGCAGTCATAACCGCCATATTCATCCTGATACGGTTCGAAACCGATTACGCGTCAATGGCCTAAGAGCCCGACGTCCCTATGTTGGTCTGCCCCTAACTCCTGCGCGTCGCCAACGCCGATTGGCTTGGTTACAAGCACACTCGCCCAGAAATTTTCCTATGAGGCAATGGAGACGGGTATTCTTCACTGACGAATCTCTACCGTTCGGACGGGCGACGTCGTGTATATCGACGTCGTGGGGAACGTTACACCGACGCGTGCGTCGCTGAGCGGGATAGGTTTGGCGGTGGTTCAGTATGTGTTTGGGGCGGTAACTCCTATGGGTTTAAATCACCCCTGATCGTGATTGACGGTAATTTAACCGGCGTAAGGTATAGAGACGAAATCCTTTGCCCAGTTGCCGTGCCATGTGTGCAAGCACGGAACCTGATATTCCAGCAAGACAATGCCCGGCCCCATGTCGCTAGAGTTTGTCAGCAATTTCTTGCCAACAATAACGTAATCCCAATCGATTGGCCAGCATTCAGTCCAGATTTGTCTCCAATTGAGCATTTGTGGGACGAATTGGATAGGAGAGTTAGGAGACGTCCAAATGCCCCCACTAAGCTGGTCCACCTCACACGTGCCTTGCATGAAGAATGGAATAACATCCCCATTGCAAGGGTTAACACCCTGATGAATTCCATACATAGAATAATCAGGGCTGCGACAGCTGCGCATGGAGGACACACACGATACTGAAATGTCCGGCCGTGTTGCGCAATACAAGTAGGGTCATCGCTAAAAGGGGGATATTTTTGGCATAATTAGCATTGATAATCGATAGAACCTTCAACATATGGTTCCAAACAGATGAAATTGTATACAAAAATGAATGAAATAATGTAACATTAAATTATATCATTTAAAAGAATCTTTTTAGGTTACACGGCGTTTCTTTTTCGTTTTAGTATATATTCCATGCAACGCAACTACATTTCATTCCTTATTACAAAATGTAAACTTAACATTAACAGCAAAACATTGATATATCTACAATAATTATCGTTTAATTTAACCAATGTTTTTGTCATTTCTATATATTGAACATCTCTCTTAATACTGTGATATTTTCAAAAATGTATGACTGAACGCTGCATTCTCCATTATATATACACATTCACCACATTTTCAATAAATATATTTATAATATTTATAAATTTGATTTCATTTTTGGAACGATATTTCTAAAAAGAAACACCGTAACTGTTAACTGGTTAAGCCTAATTGTAAATATATTGAATATTTGAATAAGTTAATAATTAATTGGTATAAGATAAAAATAAAACATAGAAAGATAAGATACGAATTTTTTGAAAAATAGTTTTAGGAAGATATATATATAGTGAAAATGTGATGAATTCTCCGTGCCCAGCAAAAATAGAAAAAAATTAAAAGACTGGAAAACACGATGAGCTATATATATAATATATATATATATATAAGAAATATATGAGAAAGCTGAAATCAACCATTGTCTTTCACTAACGGTTTTATCCCGTCATGTTTTGTTTATATATATATTTATATTTAGGTATATACTTCATACAACAGCTCTATAAAAATGTATAATTAATATTTCACCGGCTGAGCAGTAACAATGTCTTGGTACTGTCGCTGCTCTATTTCTGGTCGCATGTGAAACGATGGCGGCTGGGAGTCGAGGTCATCAAACTTGGACGCTGTACTTGTTCTCGTGTCCGGCATCGACATATTAGAGGGCTGGTATACAAAAGCCTATATATAAATGTAGATATGAAAATATCGTATTGCTGTAAATATATGTATACGAAATAGTTTTTGAGATTTGTGTGGTGTCGTAAGCCTTTACAATATAAATTTCTGATGAGGCCATGTGGCTATGGAAATGCCACTTAAATACCTAATAGGTAGGACAAAAAACTGTCAAAATGTGGTGATACGGCCAGCTAACCACAAGATACCAAATATCCACTGATTTTTAATTACAGCTTTTTAACGACATCAGTTCCTGATTATCGTAACACAATGTATTTTTCAATGTACAATGATTCAATTTCAATAATTGTCGTGTCATTCTATTTCGTTCTAAAGAAGCCATTTATAGAGTTAAAATTAGGTATTGGACTGTCGCTTTTTTGCATTTCAGTTAGTTATACATACCAGATTTTCAGGTCAGCAAACTTTACAGAACGAAATACCACTTAATGAGAGCTAAACGTTTCTATACATAATCTCAACATATGTTGTTATCTTCTGTTGTCTCGAGCTTGTCAACACTATTGAGGACATTTAATTTCTTTAAATCACAATTGTTTTAGTTGATTTATATTTTTGTCTGGCCAAACAAATGTAAACGTTGCGTGGTAATTCTGATGATATTCGTGGATACCTCAAAGAATCTTTAAATGATTAATCGGCGTAGATATAGCTGAAAGCGATGTCAGACAGCATGTCTTACCTTTGAACGATTTTCTGGATCATTCAGTACCCTGTAGTACCTTCCCTCGTCATAAGCCAGTGTGTCCTCGTATACTAAGTGACCACCATGATTGTCATCATCATTTCCTTCGTGATTAAGCTCATCTTTGTACGAACGATACGTCGGGTTCGTCTTCCCCACACCAGCCATCGGTACGTTCTCGATCCTGGAATTTTCTCTCTGTATTTCTTCAGGGTTCGTCATCTTTTCGCTTTTAAAACGAAACATTGTTAAAAACACAAAACATATGCATAATTCCTAATGTAGTCATCACATTATAATTCCAAATACATCTTTATATAAAATATTACTTCCTTGAATAAATTGATTTCATAATTTCGATTTTGTTACTTGCAAAAACATAATGAACTTGTATTGGCACTTCAGTTTCATGTGTTTTTTGTAAACATTTCTCTTATATTTTCATATAACATAAAACTAATTTTTCCTGAATTGAGGTACAATTTTAGACAGCTTTTAAATGAATAATGAAAACAACATGAATGTAATTTACTTGGAAACGTAAAGGTCTTTAAAATACATACTCATTTAGTTGTTTGTTACGTTTGCGTCTCCATCTAGCGCCAAGATATATAACAAGTAACAAGAGAAATGCTACGACAGCCCCCGCGCATGCGCCTATGATAGCAGTGTTTTTCCCACTGAAGAAAATTAAAACCTTTTCTTTGCATGCTTCACCTTTGTAGATATAGGTGGAATCTTCTCTGCATCTGAAATCATAAGAGTGTTGAGGAAATACTATTTTCAGTGACAAGGGGTTCCTAATGACATGGTTCATTGGATATCGTTTGATTAGAGCTATATATGTTTTAGAAACACTATGCTCCGAAGAGGGGTGTAGCATTTTATGACGGCAAAGAAAACACAAGGACTAGAAGATTTAGTTGAAAAAACATTTTTACAATACATTGAAGGTGAATGTGAACAAATGTAGATTAGAAATTCATGTGTAAAATTGTATGAGATACTAATTGATATGGAGATATGGAACATTTTCTTCGATCGCGGGGGCATAAATACATTTAACGTATAATGAGTAATGCTATAAGCGGTACTGAACAAATGAAAAACTTGAATCTTTTGATATATATACGTCACAAAATGTCAAAGAAACATGCCAAATATGCACCGGATATCACACAGACATTCATTCTTGTAAAATCGTGTGAAAACAAAACCAGCCGTATTAAAATGACCCAGCATACAACCTTATGTGCACAGGGCATTGTGTTATTTCATAGCAATCAAAAATGAGAAAGTAGAACCGTCGTGAAGATTGTAGAAAAAAACACATAAGCGAACAACACCTTTCAAGCAAATTAAGGGATATCTAATTTCCTTCACACGTGTATAGTTTCTTATATGAAAACAAAGGAATATATAATAGCTTGTCGCTATTATTAAAAATATTATTTTAATACATTTATATTGTTTACCTGCATTTCATATCCCCTTTTTCGTTTACGTAGCATTCTCCATCATTTGAGCACATGTTATGTACATCACACTTGTGTTCGCACATGAAACGTTGTCGTTTAATCACACATACCCTATCGATTGAGCACACATTTGAGTGTCTGCAGTTATCTTCCATTTGTTTAGAGGATAACGCTGAAAGTTAAAACAAAAGTCATATTCAGCTTAGATTAAAAGAAAATATAAAAGTATAATCAAAGAAAACTTGAATTCAGCCACAATTATTTCTGAAAACACTTTTTCAAATATGATAATTACGATATTACTGATGAAAGTTATAGCATTCCATCCATTTCCCAAGGACGAAAATGTTCTGAATATGACCTTATTGCTTTACAAATAAAGTAATGAAAAAAATGTTATCTTGTATTTCCGGAACTCCTTTGTTGTTATCGCTGATGTCTAACATGAATTGTTATTGCTTTTTACAATGCAATGGTCGTGATATCTGTGTCAATTATTTTATCATCATGGTGATATGTAAAATTTGATCTTGATTTTTGTATAACAATATTAGTCACGTCATTTTTATCATTTACAGCGTACATATGTTACAACGTTTCAAATATGAGTGAATTGTCCATTACGATTATGGTGCTATTGGTATGTGACAGGAATAACAGCTGCAGCAACATCCGGGTACTTATTGTTAATGAACCTTTAGTTTTATTTCATCAACTTCAAATATCAAAATCCACTGTGTCTCCAATTGTTAATTTGGTCAGTTTAATCTCGTGCTTAAGATAATTTAAATTGTCAGGTTAAAATCTGCATATATACATACTATGACCCCACAGCAAGATTTACTTGTTAAATGGAAATACAAATATAGCCACTTGGACCCAGCCGAAATATAATGATTAGATTTGTACCATTTGAGATGTTTTCGTTAAGGTCACTAAAGGTATCAACTACATACTTCATTTTCCTAATTTAAAAATGACGGCGGGCGATCATCTTAAATACATATTCAGTAACAAAAATGTGAGATGCACGGCTATAACCAATATTTAATATATTTCAGGAATTTCCCTGAAACTGTAAATATCGATCACAAGAATTGGATACGGACTAACTGACTAATAGACCGCAGGTCAGAGACAGCAATTAATCAGGAAATCACACCTATTAGGCACTAATTATGTTCCACCCAATCTTACATACAGAGAACGAATAAAGGAAAGAAAAAATCTTTTGTGCGATTTTCAATCGCTATGTTTGCAGTCATTTTTTCATAATTCAATTGAATAACGACAGAATCGAATTGTTTTCTGGCAAAGGATGTACGCAGTAATAAAAAAAAACCCATGAGAAATACTCAAATTCAGTTTTGTAAAAGTAAATTAAAATGGGAATGACAGATCTTGTGTTCAAACGTACCCTTTTGAATCGCACAGTTTGTCTTTGATTTTTCAATCCTAAGAGAGACTCCATCGACAGTAATGTTATCAAGCTGCACATTTTTAATGGATTCAACAAGTGGTAATTCGTTGGATACTGCTTGATTCAATAGCAGGGTAAAATTGCATCCAATAGAGCCTTTGCTAAAATTCAGATAAAATGTCATTACGAAAACTGAAATTAAATTACAAAAGTCAAGCAAATAATACATAATTCAATGACTGCAATACATGTTAATGACCGGTACAATTTTAAAACACCTCTACAGGACATGAATTGCATGAATTGCTAAAACATATAAACACGATATGTACCATCGGAACATTAATTATACAATATCTTTATACATCTGTACGTTTTTGTTTTTGCATGGTATTGATTAACATATCGGTTGGGAGAAGCTACTGTACATATTTGAACTGACAGTTAAGAAGACTATTCTGTATACTCACAAAAAACCATCGATGCGAATGTCATGAAAACCAGTAATGTCCTGGTACTCATTATACAGCTGTTACAATAAAATGAAATACACATGTAATAATAATGATAACCACATTCTTTATTATGCCTGAGAAAATGTTGAATATTGAACCTTAAATGATATATATATATGTGTGTGTCTTAATCTCACTATTCAGACGGATACTTAAAGCCAAAGCAGATCCTAATAAGGTTAACAAGGAAGATAAGGAAACAATTCACTTACTCGACCATTGGAAATAGACAATTGTGTTAAGAATAAAATTATAAGAATGTTAACGATACGTCCAGCCACTTTTTAAGACAAACAATGTAATAAAACACATAATCGTAATTGTGTTCTTTTGACATCTGAAGACAAAATAATTCATTCCGTCTCATGTGCGCTATCATTTATATTACCACAAAATTTATGATAATGATTACGACATTTCAGTAGTGGTGTAATATATTATGCAAATGTTACGTTATTATTGCCAATATGGCAAAAATGATGTTTCAGGCTCCTTTACGATCAATAGATAACTTCATTTATTATAAATATTGTGTTCACTAATTGGATAAGTAACAGACACAAAAAATGCAAAGAAAGAAAATTGATTTGTCGTTTTGTGTCTAAATTTAGATCTGAGACATCAAATTATTTCTTCCCAGGAATATGACAACAGCAATTACCTGTCGTGGTTCTAGACTTTGTTTTATATCGATATTCTTCGATGTTCACATAATCTAAAATACTTACTGTACTATAGAAGGATGAGTTATAATTGGTATAAAGTGGTGAGGTTTTGTTATTCAAAGTTTCGTTGAAGCTGCCGTTGACAAAAATAGACAATGGTATGGACAACATTGCATTACCTGAAATGACAATTAAGTAGTGCGTAATCATTAATTATTTCCGAGTATCAATAAACATAGATCTCTAAAGTTGGATCAAAATGGATTAAACTTTTTGTATACATTGTTCTCATTTGAGAAAGTGACATTATTTTCTAGAATTGACCAAGATTAACATGCGGAGTGTTGTCGATGAAGCAAAAGACGCTTTCTCTTCCGGAACACCGTGTCTTATTTTCCTTGTCCCTTTCCGTGTAATCTTTCATTTGTTAATATTTTGTCCTAGTTTAATTATATTTGAGTTTTGATTAGGATTATGTTGACTTGTTGGTGTTTACATTGATCTCTGTAAAAATATTTGAGGTATATCCAAATGTAAATTGATATCGCAATCCAGTTATAAACAAATGATAAAGAAGTGAAATCGGGTATTGGAAACTGATATCCGATTTTTGTTACTGAAGAATCACACATTTCTTTTCATGAAAGTCGCCGCAATGCACATTTTATTGCATTTGTTTACTTGATACTTTAACATTCATATTTTTTCATCATACAGCTATACTTTGGTTAAAGAACTGTATGCACTCATTCGAACACAAATAACAAGAATAAAATAATAGCCGATATAGAAATATGCAGGATTTGAATCGTGTGACTGGGTAAAGCATTGATTTTCATGTTAATATAAAACTGTTGGCTATTTTAAAAAGATCAGAATGAATTTAGCTTAATACGATATAGCGACTGTCTTTCATTTTTATAAGTAACATTGAGCAGATTGGGTGTAAACAAACTAACCAATGTCAGGATATAGTGTGTGTCCTGAAGTAAAGCAAGAAATATCGAAAAGAAAAATATATGCATCGTGTCATATACCGCTGCTTTTGTTTTTGATAAAGGTAAGATATTTTAGATAAAATCATTTAAGGCAACATTTTGTTAATCAGTTCAAATCATGGAATCAACTGCGACATGTACACACATGAGGATGCAAGATGTTGATATCCAGAAATTTTTTTTGAAAATTATCATATTTATCATGCAACTGCTGAAATGTTATGATGACGTATTTCCAATTACGATTTGTTAAAAATTGGGTCACCTGATCGACCACGTGGGTTTTCGTCCGGTATTGTGGTTTCCTCCTACAATAAGACCCCTGAGCACATCCATCCGGCCAACAAGTGATCGATATATTCTTAAAGCTTGTTTAACCATTGTTGTAAAATAAATAAAATAATATATAATTTTTCATACTATCAAGCGATGAATATTGAAAACCAGTATGGTAAGAAAATTATTTTTTACCAAATGAATGGATTAAATATATTCTACATACCCCAGTCAGGTTTACGGAACGGAAATCGTGTCGGAGTGTCGGGAGTAGAAGCAGTTGACGATGCACCTTTGCTTGTTCCTGTAGAGTTTGTTACTGGAGATGATGTTACGGTATCATTGTGTGATACAGAACTGTTTCTGGTTGTTACTGGAGATGATGTTACGGTATCATTGTGTGATACAGAACTGTTTCTGGTTGTTACTGGAGATGATGTTACGGTATCATTGTGTGATACAGAACTGTTTCTGGTTGTTACTGGAGATGCTGTTTCGGTAGTATTGTCTGATACAGTACTGTTCGAGGTTGTTACTGGAGATGCTGTTTCGGTAGTATTGTCTGATACAGTACTGTTTGAGGTTGTTACTGGAGATGCTGTTTCGGTAGTATTGTCTGATACAGTACTGTTTGAGGTTGTCACTGGAGATGCTGTTTCGGTAGTATTGTCTGATACAGTACTGTTTGAGGTTGTCACTGGAGATGCTGTTTCGGTAGTATTGTCTGATACAGTACTGTTCGAGGTTGTTACTGGAGATGCTGTTTCGGTAGTATTGTCTGATACAGTACTGTTTGAGGTTGTTACTGGAGATGCTGTTTCGGTAGTATTGTCTGATACAGTACTGTTTGAGGTTGTCACTGGAGATGCTGTTTCGGTAGTATTGTCTGATACAGTACTGTTTGAGGTTGTTACTGGAGATGCTGTTTCGGTAGTATTGTCTGATACAGTACTGTTTGTGGTTTCTTGTGGTTGAGATGCTGCTTTGGTATTTATAATCCCTGTGTTGCAGATCAGGAACGTAACCAGGTCTGTATCAGCAAATTATGATATTCATTCAATTCAATTTACAGTGAAAATAAACCTTAACATGACAATAAATAATTTCTGTTAAGATGTTCTTATGAAGTAATTATTTAGAAATGTTTTCTGATGCAGAAAGAAAACGCATGGGAGAAAATTTGTATGTCCGTTGTCAACATCTTCACGAAATCGTGATAAGCCAAGATCGAATTAATAAGTTTAATCTAGAGACCATGCAACGCAAGGATATGAAACATCTTCTTTGTATCGCAATTAAGTTCTATCTTCGTGTGAGAAGCTGATGACAAATGATCAAGGTTAGGCTCTGTGGAAGCTTTATTCTCATGATACCGTGTCGTCATTTAAAAAGAAAACACACGCTTACATAATTATATCCACTGTTCTTTTTCTCAATGAAAGGAAACAAATTTGTTGAAATAATTTCGTCGGTGAATAGTTATACATTTGCTCTGCATATGTAGTAATAACGCTACTAAGACCCGTTCCGTACACCATAACATTGACGTAACGATATGAAAAATTCATGTTCTGGATTTATGTCCATATGTCTACAACAAGTTCTTCCTCAAAGTCTGCCTTTATTATTGTTATTAGCAAGTATTTCGTTGATAACAGTGGTCCCAATCGTTTTGCAGCATATATGTGTAGACGTTGAGATTACAAGTATCCTTGCTTGCCTCGACTGGTGGGAATTTCTCTTTAGACGATCACTATGCTAGAGACCGATTATTCGCTAGTCCGAGCCCCAGCAGTGGCAGGGTATTTTTTTCATTACTCCTTCTTGTCACAGTTGTACTACTGCAATGTTCCATCTAGGAACACACCACACATGTAGGTTCAACCACACAAATAAATAACCAACCCACACATAATTTAACATTTGGTTCTACCCTCACTGCACTCTAATAACTCCTTCACTCATATTGAAACCGAAACCGGTTTCAACACCAGTTTTCCTAAGGTGCAACAAACTACTGGATCGCTATGCCCCATCGCACCAGCAAACCAAACACCAAGTTACCACTACGACGAATATTCTTATCTTATGACAGAATTTAATCAGATGTGATTTGGATGTATTTATTTGGAAATCAAATAATTTTTTTTTCATTTCAAGGAGCTATATTTTTGTTTACTGGAAAAGGCACCATGAGATGACAATGCATGTGCTGTTCTACATGCTGTACAAACATAAGCAAAATTTTGTTCCATTTTATGATATTTTAAAACGAAATGGATTGCATACAGAAATCGTAAGTCGCGTTATTCATTTTAAGAGAAATCCTGATCCGTGTTAAAGGACAATAACACGGAATGTTATTTACTGTTTACATAACAGACATGTCATTAAATGAGAAACAAAGACTAATTGGAGTGGACTAAGCGTCAATAATTGATTACATCCCAGTCTTCCCTATCCCATCTCCCTTTTTCTTTTATAATTCTGACTTTGCCATTTTATTTAAGATTATTGTATCGATATCGTTCAACACCAAATTCGCAAATGAAACTCATAAAAAAGCATATGGGGAAAATATAACACCAGTTTGACTTACATAATATATGGATCGATGAACTGCGGTGACCTGAAATAAGAAAAAATAGATAATTACTTTTTGTAATATTTTCATAAAAACCTTTTTATAAGTATCAACAAAAAGTTCCCTTAATACGGATGAAATAGCAA